GAAGGTCAGTCTTCAAAAGCAACTGCCAGCGATAGGAAGGGCACTATTTGTCACTCCCTCCCACACTGGGCGCAACTGAGGCCAGACAGGACAAGGCGAGGAGCATCTCCCAGGATTTTATCGTCTTTTTCTTCTTCAAGAAATACGGAGACACTGAAACCGGTAAATAGCAAGTCCTGCCTATACTTTTTGTTCCTAATGCCAAATAGAGATTAGCAGTACATGTGATATACACACACGCGCGTCCGCAATCACTCACCCACACCCACGCACATACAGATACACATCTAAACTTACACTCACACACACACACACACACACACACACACACACACACACACACACACGCATACACACACACACACACACACGCACACACACACATGCATATATAAATAGACAATTCATTTTACTTAATAGATCTCCCACTGTCTGACCGTCTTAACAGTGATCTCCTTTGTCAGGGTTGTCGCGAGAGGCAAACACGAGCACAAACTCACCATGAATAAAGTTGTAAGTATAATTCAGTCTTCTCCCCTAAGCATTTGTAAAAAAAAAAAAATGATAATGAAAATAACACAAACAACGAATAATGATAATCACAATAAAAAATAATGATAAAAAATAAAATCACCCTAAAATATAAGACAAAAAAGATCAAACCTAAATATACTAAAACATTCCTAACACCAACAGCTTCTTCTGGCGATGCTTCTGGCGGTTCTCGTAGGCGTGGCGTGGTCCTTCCCGCAGGTGGTCATCACGCAGCCTCGGAAGTTCCCCGGAGAAAGGCGTTTGGGGACTATTAACTACGGCCAATATCGCTTCGGCAAGAGAGGATACCAGAGGAAGTGCCATTCAAGTAAGATAAATTGTTTTATTCTTCTCTCACTGTCTCTGTCGCCATCTATTCTTTGTTTGTTTCTCTGTCTGTGTCTCTATCTATCTATCTATACTCTTTGTATGTATGTATATATATAATTTGCATATTTATTTTTAGACTGCCCATACATGCCTTTTGTAAATCACAGATTTTAATAATTGGTCTATTCATACACGTTCCTGGTAATGTTAGTATGTAATGTAATATCTCTACTGCAATTCTAATTTCCTTCTTATTTAATTACAGGAAAAAAAAACTGTAAGTTTCATTAGAGAGAGAAAAAAAGCAAACTTACAGCTTAAACTGAACATATGAATCCAAGCTAACAGAGGCTATGCATGGAAGGTATATATAAGGTATAAAGAGTTATATTTAGTATGTTGGAGTCTGTTTACGTATTGGAAAATGATAACAACCGTGTAGTGCAAACACATATTTTGGATACGAAGTCATGCAGTCGTTAACGAAAAGCACGTTAGACCAGGGAATCTAAATTAGTTTGTGAGGAAAATACTACCACAGTGAAAGTTATATATATAATTAAGAGACCTAATAGTCATGACAAATTTTAATCAATTATAGTGTCTGTACTCTTATTGTCATTCCAACTGTGTTAACTTGAAATCAATGTAAGGCTGAACGTCTTGAAATACTCAAGTCGGCAAAAGTTCTGATAATAATCCATGGTCAAATTGCCTTACCATGGAAAATTGGACCGTCTACTACCATGGAATAGTTACTGGCACCAACGAAAGCCGCACAAGAGGTGTTGTGAAATCCAGATTTATGTTCATTTTCATCGATTTGGTGTCTCTTTGGCGGACCTTCCTTAAGGGATCTGAAACTATTGTCAAAACTGTAGGTTAGGAGGAACCTATGGTATGTGGTAAATTGATTTATATTAAATCAGCCATGTTTATAATGATTTAGTACCTTTGTGCATATTTACGTATAAGCTATGCAGTATTATTTTAACACATTGTTAACAAAGTTGTTACACTTAGTACTATGTATTTTTTATTTTTATACTTCAGTCATTGAATATTGACTGTTATGTAAATACTACAACTGTGAAAATAAAAAAAAAACATTTTCTTATAAAATATGGTTTATTTACCTTATCACCAGCTGTAAAAAGTAAAACAAGGGAAAAAACAGAAAAAAATGTATATAATGAACAAACTAAAATCCATTAGTTGATATAAACTACTGCTAAATCAGGCTGTCAAATTTGACCTTCAGATTTTTTAAAGTAAGTTTCTTTTTTTTTTTTTTTAATCCAGTGAAAAAACTATCTCCGAGTTACATTATATACTGCAGTGATTAATTAATATGAATATATAGATAGCTATGTTTCCTCTCATGGGTCTTAAACTTACTGTACTTACTAAACTCGGAATCGAAAAACGCAAACACACACACTGACACGCCCACACACACACACACACACACCTTATCTGTAACAAGATTTAGAAAAAAATACATACTTGAAAAATACTTGACCATACATAGCTATCCGGCCAATTTCCTCGGATTAGTTTTTTTACTCCATTTCAGCATCACTCTCTCATTCCCTTAAACTTTAGGTTGTGCGAGAAAATTAAAAAAAAAAAACAA